ACACACACACACACACACACACACACACACACACAAGGTGTGGCCCACATCTGTTCTAGTGGGAGAGGCCGCTGAATACTCAGAAACGGGTATGGCAGGTGTACCCTATGCAGAAACCAAAAGAGTTTGAATGGAAAAAATTAAGGGAGAACCAGGTTGAAAACCACTTTGTGGACCAGTAACATAAAATGTCTAGATACCAATCTGTAGGGTAAGGCAGTTGCCTGGCATCTACCCATCCCCACCCTGTTATGTAGGTCTCCAGAGTTTCCCCACTCTAGTTTTGAGCTGATGACCGACGTGGGTGCGGGCCTTCCTGTTTAACACCGGGTAGGCACCATGCTTGAAATCTCCACCCCATAGTAATTGATCATAAGTATAGTGGAAACAACCATGACAAAATGACCAATCTCTATAACTATAAATTGCCCCATTCGGTGGCTGGAATGGCATTAATTATAGACACGTGTGGCTGAAATTGCAAGACAAGGTATATTCTGGTCTTCCAGCGCTGATGCATTGCTGCCCTGTTTAGACTAGAATAGTGTCCTCCGATTCAGTTTAGAAGTGTGTTCAGTTGGAAGACAGACCTGCTAGCCACCACAACCTCCAAACTCAATCTTTCAACGCTGAATGTTTTCATAGAAATGAAAAGGCCAGGCTAGTACCGTATTTTTCGCTCCATAAGACGCACCAATTTTTTAGGAGAAGAAAACAGGAAAATATAAAATACGGTAATTTGTTTTTTGTTTTTCCTGTGTCCTTCAAAGGGCCAAAGCTGAGGAGCTCACTTCTTCTTGGAAAACCCCAGAACCCATCCAAAGAGGACCCAATGGGGTCAAACTTTCAGGCTTCGTCCAAGTTCAAGGCACATCTCTGTGCCGCCTGCTGTTGGCCATCCTCCCGCCAGTGAGGACAAGACCCTCTGAAACACTGCCGACATGGTTGTGACAGGAAGACGCTCCCAACCGGAGTCCCTTTTCTTGGTGGACCTCCCCTTGGTGCGGAAGGCCAGTAAACTCTGTGCTCTTGGCTCCAGCATACCATATATTCACCGATATCAAAGTGTTGTGTTGCCGATCCTCCATCTAATCCCCTCAGAACCGGAATATTCTCCTCACACCCTGGGCACGTGATGTGGTCTGCTCTTCAGCCCTGTCAGGTCATCAACATTAATTTGTCACCATCATCTCTTCAATCGTCAATAGCTCTGTGTTGCCCGAACGGCCAACCAGGGCTCCATGCAGATTGTAATGGAGCCCTTCCTATCCTCCAGAGCCTTTCTGAAATAGATTTCTCTGCCTGACCCATGCTACCTATGCTCTTTGGTGGCCAAAGTCCACCTTCCATGGACATTACCTTTTCATTTGGGATTTACATCCTGCAGTATGGGTTTTGTGAGCTGAAAGTGAGTTTTTCTGCATTTGGTGCGCCATTCCCTGTCTCATGCCAGCTGGCGTGAAGGATTCGATCGCACGCACTCCCAGAAACCCAGGTTTTTAAGCCATTACACATGGGGTTAAAAAGAGAAACATTTTCCTCCTTCAGTCCTGTTCTTACCTTGATATTTCTCTCCTTGCCTGGAGACCTAGAGAAACATTGTGATTCCTCCAGACATCCTCTGGCGCCGTGGACCCTGGCCATCAGAACCTGTGATCAGACCCTGCCCGGTGTCAGATCTCCTACAACAATTTCACCCACAAGCAAGCCTGCTCAAACAACTCCTGCATATCAGAGGATTCTTTAGGCTCTCATGTATCCTAAACTATGGGATGGCATCACACCCCTGCCAGTCCCAGAAAGTGTAAAGAAGACGAGCGTAGGGTGAGCAAATATCCACTTTTAGAGAGGACGGTCTTCCATTTGAAGAGTGGTTCTTTTTGAGAACGCATGTCCTGTTTTGGAGACACGGCCACCCTCCAATCAGTGAGTTTCCCTTGCTGACCAGGAATTTGAACCCAAGTGTCCTCATTCTGGGTTTGACATCCTCTACACTACACCATGTTGACTATCCGGTGATACCTTCATAAGACCGATAACCTCTCAAACACAGGCTACTGTTTGAGTTCTGTAGAACTCTTCAATAGGCTAGATTTGCAGAACTGCAAGGGGGGAGACGGAAAACTCCCGGAAGTCATCTCAGAAATTATTGGCTGTTATCAGAATCAGAAGCTGGATTTTTTTGTGTGCTGTAGAGTCTTGGGTTGGTACATGTAGGTAACCAATCTTCTCCCACTTTTTAAATAACGTGGTTGGAGGGAGTGTTATTTTGTAGAAAACAAAGTAAGTCACACAACATGGATACTGTAATGACTACTGATGAATGGCAGGAAAGAGACTCATCACAGGAGTGTACATTCTGAAAACACCTGTTTGGAGCGTTCTTCTGAAATAACGATGACTGCCTAGCTCAACGTTAGAGATGGGCACAAACTGCGGTTCGGCAGTTCGAGGCGGTTCGGCAGATCTGGCCTACAGGGGTTGCCCAGATTCCCTGCCCCACCTCCTCCCATCGTATGGATGCTGTTCTCCGGGCTTCCCTGCCCCACCTCTTCCTCTGAGCGGGTACGCCTGCAGGAGGAGGCAGGGCAAGGAATCCTGGGCACCCCACTCAGCAGCTGTGGGCCCAATCCACCAAACCGCACTGAAGCACCAAACCACCAAACTGTTGTCCGGGCACATCTCTAATCAACATTTCAACAAAACCACAGTGGGCTCTGTTCACTTGCTTTCTCTATGTATTCATTTTCAGTATGCTGCACAAAATATCCAGCACAGAGCATTTCAGAGAGCCTTATTCATTGACTTGAATTACATCCTACTTTTCTCTCCATGCTGTGTCCCAAAGTGGAGATCAAGCCCCAATTGGGTGCAGTTTGGTCAGAAGGAGTTTGTTTCCTCTTAAATGATGGCAATTTAAATGGGGACATGCCGATTTAATTGAAAATAGCTTTTCTTTGAGTGAAGAATGTCCTTCTTTTTTGGCCTATCTTGTCCTACCAGACCTTTTTGATAATTTTTTAAAAAATATTTTTTTACCCTGCCTTTCTCCTAAAGAAGGACCCGAGGTGGCTTACGTCATTAAAAAATAATATTTTTAAAAGCTGAAAACAGTCAGTAAGCAAATGTTTTAAAAGGGCAAAATAAACACCACACTGAAAGACAGGAAACAAATGCAATATCAAAAATTAGATTCAAAACTGTAAGGCACCACCATCCATTTAAAAATCCCACACAGGTGGGGGGGGAAGCTTGCCTGAAGAGACGGGTCTGTGCCTGCTAGCAGAAGGAGAGCCAAGATGGGGCCAGCCTGGCCTCCAGTGGGAGGGAGTTCCAGAGTCTAACAGAGCAGTCGCAGAGAAGAAGACCCTCTTCCGTGTCCCCATCTGCCAGAGTCTAACGGAGCAGCCACAGAGAAGAAGACCCTCTTCCATGTCCCCATCTACCTTGTAATGGCACAGTTTTGCTTCTACCGTTTTTGCCTCAGAAAGACCCTTGGAGAGACAATATTCTATGCTTCAAAGAGCAGACCAACGGCATTTTGGAGCACTCCCATGAAAGGGGTGTTTTATGCATTTATTGGCTGGACTGGTCGACCACTTTGGAATTGAACTCCCTGGGCTGTTTACAGAAAAGAATAAAACCATTCGGAAGTATGTACAAAAAAGGGGGGGGGAAGAAAAAAAAGCCACCAAATTGTGAACGCAGCAAAACACGCTTAGCAGAATCAAACACAAAGGATTCTTACAGCATCAACGAACCTGGTCAACACTTCAACACCTCGCTCTGTCATCCGGTGGCATCCCCTCCCGCTCATTGCTGAGGTCCTCCTAAAGTTGCAATACAACGTGAGACTTGAGCAGCTTCAAAACCACGCGGCCCCTCCTCGGCTCGTCCCCGTTTTGTAAGGTCCAAGAAGATCTTTCACGAGGAGAAAATATACACAGGATTTCTGTTTTATACAGGATTTTTTTTAACAGAAGGATTCCCTGCCAACAAATATCCGTTGGGAAGGTTTTATGTTCCTTTCCCCCTTAGAATCGCGGCCGATACCTGAATTGGATGTCACAAGAAGGGTTTGCCGTTCCAAACCCAAAGCGATGTACATCCACCGGAGGGATTTCTTCTCCTTGGTCGATCAGTTCCATGTCAAAGTAACTCAGCATCAGAATCACAAACATCTTCATTTCACTCACCGCAAAGAAGCGCCCAGGACACATAGAGGGTCCAGCGCCAAAGGGCATGTTGTAATACTTCAGCTTCAACCCGTTTTTATAAAATTCTTTTTTGGTGCCATCGGGGTTCAGGAACCTGTCGTATTTGAACTTCTGAGGCTCAGGGTAGATTTCTGGATCCATGTTCAGCGAAAGGAAGGGGAAGAGGAGAATCTGGTCCCCTTTTCTCAGGAGGTATTCTTTCCCGTCAAACATGGTAAGACCCATTTCCTGCATCACCGTCCGGAACAGAAACGTGCTGGCTTTCAAGCGCAGGGTTTCCTCGATGGTGCTGTCCAGAAGAGGCGTCTTGATGGTCTCCAAGGCCACGTTGATAAAAGGGCCACCTGGCTTGACCTCCTGGCCAGCCTCTCGCAGGGCTTTCTCCACTTCTTCCCTCACGGCCTTCATGGCTTCCGGATGTTTCAGGAGAAACAGAAGGATCCAGAAAGTAGCCGGGCCTGTGTTAGCTTGCGAGGCCCAGAGGAGAAGAAGCTGCACCTGAGTTCTGATCTTCTCGGTCATTCCCGCCTCCGCCATCTCTCTGTCTTGTTCAGTGATCCAGGGGTTGATGTCGTCCCTCTGGTACATCTTTTCCACAGAAAGGAAGTCCCACAAGATATTTCTCAGCCTGTCCACCTCCTTCTTGCTCTGAGCATCCAGCATGCCAAGGGCCAACTGGGGAAAGAAATGGTCAAATTTTTGAAACTCAACAAAGAGCTCTCCACATTTTTTCAGCTTCCTTTCTATGTCGCTGTCTTTGCTCTCCGCTTTTTCCCCCGGGTCGGTGCCAAACAAGGACAGAACTGCGGCCTGAAAGATGGTTTTGTAGCTGAAATGGAAGACTCCGTCCTGCTGCCACGATTTCGGTCCATCTCTCGAACCGCGGCCATGGAGCATCACGGTCTGCAGCTTCTGCATCATGATCTGGTTCAGGGCAGCCAGGTTCTTGCCGTTGAGATACTTCTTGCTAACGTTTTGTACAATTTTGTGATGAATTTCGCCCGGGTGGAAGTCAAACGTGTTCGAAACGATAACCAAGGCAAAGGTTCCAAAATCCAGCTTGTCTTTGGATTCCTTAATGATGGCCTCGTACGTGGAAGCATCCGCCACCATGTTGATATAGTTGCCGCCGACCAGAACGGTGAAAATATCCCCGTGCTTCTTCCTCATGCCTTCCAGAAACTCAACAGGGTTCTTCCTGAAGCTTAGCCCGTGTCCCAGCCATGGAATCCAGCCTTTATCCAGAGGAGGTTCTTTGGGTCTCCTCTTGCGAAACGCTCCCGCCGTGTAGAGGCCACCAAGCACGATCGCCAGCAGGGATCCCAGCAAGGAGCAAAGCACCGTCTCCCAGAAATTCATGACTGGCCTGCTGGAGGGAACACAGCAAAAGGTAAAAAACAGGACTGCATGCCTACTTATAAGGCACCCAATCAAACAGCAAATCAGGGAGGGACAGCCTCATTCCTCCTCTGAGCTGGCAAAGGTACCTGTGGTTTTCCTGTCCCTTTGGTTGTTATTGGAATTCCAGTGTGCATCACTCCCTCCCACAACATCGTGTTTATCTTCTGTCCATTCCTTTCTTTTTTTTTCCTCCCTAAGGTTTTAAAGAAGGAATAATTGCCAGAGCATTTATGGCCATAGGAGTGAAGCCCTTGGTCACGATACATTTGTGCTGACTGTAGATGGTTCTGGGCAGCTCTGTGGGTCATCTGGGTTTACGCTGGGAGGATGACTCGCATGTTTTGCCCTCGGTGAGCGTGGCCTAACTCAAATTCTCAAAGGCTCAAGTTGCTACCTGGCCACTAGAGGCTCTTGTTTTCATACGCATGTTTTGCCCTCGGTGAGCGTGGCCTTTGAGGAACTCAAATTCTCAAAGACTCAAATTGCTACCTGGCCACCAGAGGCGCTTGCTTTCATTATGTACATCCCAGCTTATGAGCCCCAAAATAGTCAACTGGAGATTAGTCACTGGAGGGAAGTAAATCCTTGGTAAGGAGAGACAATAATGTAAATTGTAGTGAACCATCCATTGTCCTCACCCTCCTCTGAATCATTCTCTCTTTTTTTGTCATTTGTAACACACTCTTTCTTTTTCCTTCTGCCACTTGAAACCCGTGCCTTCTGCATTTCAAAGGCTGTGGGAGAATTGTGCCCTCAGAGCATCTCTGGTTACACCCACTGGCTTGTTGAGGGAAATATGGAACCTTGTCCTCATAAATATGCAGAAGAGGAGAGAAGAGGAGACGAGAAGAGACAAGACAAGACAAGACGCAGACCAAGACCCAGGCAAGATGGTGGTAGCCTCTCCAACTGGCATTTTGTCTATGTAATGACTGCCCCCTTTTCAATGCTTGGCCAAGGACGTCAACAGTTGTTGTCACAACCTGCATCCATACCCTCCTTTCTTTTCCTCCTACCTCCTTCCTTACACTTCTCCTCTCTTTTCCTCTCCACCTTCTCAAACGCTTCTCTCCCTCCATCCCAAGATCTTTTCAACTTCTCCTCCATCTAACTCACCACCACCAAAGCAAGCGTTCTGCCTTTCCCGATCTTCTCTTGTCGCTGCTTTTCCTTCCTTCCTTGTCAAGAGTCTGCTGACCCTTGCAAGATTCGATCTCCTCCACCTTATTTAAGATCGCTGCTCACTCCTCCTTCTTGGCCCAATGCCTAAGATTCTGACCTCTATAATCTTCTCCTGCCCTTTCAGCTCTCCACCTTTTCCAAGTCTGGAAAATTCATTCTGTCGCCTTCTGTAACTTCTGCTCTTCTCACCTTGTGCTTCCCTATTCTAGAGCTTTAATTTCAAGACAAACACAAACAAACATGTAAGCAATCAGGTTTAAATATGCCCTTGGGCTACATTGAAGTTGTTCTTGTGAATTCAGTTGGAACAAACTTAGACAAATACATCCACCAAAGGACATAAATATATGTGATACTGCTAAAGGATAGAAAAATATATTACTCATACTTGTTTTTACTAAGTGGTTTTTATATGTTCTTTTGGTGAATTGCCTTCGAGATACGCACAATGGAATGACATAAATCCACTCGGTAGAAGGGATGGGGGACTCAAGTTGTGGGATCCGTTGTGAAGTCGGACTTAAGTCTTACCGGTGACTTGGATTGGATTCAACTTGAGGTTTCTTTTCAACAATTCAAACTTGACTCGCCACTTGGAACCTACCCACCCCGCCCTTTTTTTCTGGGCGAAAAAGCTTTTTCTTAATAGGGAATCAGACTCTGGACTCAGGACATGGGATATGAACCCAAAGAAGAGCCAACAGCCCTGCTTGGTAGCCCCAATTGGACTAAACCAGTTGAATCAGTGGGGCTTCGCTAATCAGCACTTACTCAAGTTCCGTTGACTCCTTGATTCTACACTGATTTGGACCACCCAACCTGATTTAGTCCGATGTATTGCAATATTGCAATACTTCTCTTGATGTGTTTTCCCCAGCCGTACTCTGCCCGAATAATGCTATAGGGTTTACTTTCCTTGGGACAAGAAGGAGTTTATGGTGCGGCTGTAACCTGTGTTTTATTGAAAGGAGCGGAGTAGAAAGGCACTGCAGAAATGCATCTCCTCCCCCTCATGCTCCCCGGTGACACCACCTCCCTGTTCTCTTTAATTCCATCTGGAACACACCAAACAATGCCAAGTGACCCATATCTATTGAGTACTGAAGATGTGGGTTGTGGAGAACAATGGTAGCGGCACCCTCTCTTTCTCCAAGCTCTAATGTCCTAGATCAACACTTCTTTGAATCAGAACAACAGGTATCCTCATTCCCTAGAATGAAAACGTGTGTAAACTAAGCAAAATTGGGTTGAATCATTTGACAAGAGTTTTAAAATGATGCGCTAAGAGATTCTACCGTCATTTATGACGAGCCTTCCTGATAGTAAGTAGGCAGTGAAAATGGGGCTTAGAGTGCTTTAAATGTTTATAGGGTGCTCCTTGAGTCATTAAGGTATGCTATAACCATCAGCATGTTGGGGATTATCATGGTATGATAATCCCAAAGCCGCCATGAGCTTTTACATGATTTTTACAAATTGCAGCAGTCTTCCAATTTACATATTATGGGAAATGCAATCAAGGTGCTTCTAGGAAAGGACAACATGATAAAGAACGAGGAACAGGTATTTGGGGGAAAGGTAGAGGGAGCTGCTTGGCTAACGCACCATGGCTAACACACCTTCATAGCTAAATCTTGGCACGTGGTTTCTACTGCTTAACAGGAAGTCCATGGTGGCCAGGGGTTATTCCATCCTTCATACAGTGGTGCCTCGCATAGCAAGGTTAATCCGTTCTGGATTAACCATCGCTATGAGGAAACATCGCTGTACGAAACAGGGAAAGTCATTGCGATCGCAAAAACCTAATCGCTATGCGATTTCGTCGTTATACGGTGTGCTCGTTAAGCGAGGCACCACTGTATTTTGAATAGACTTTTTCATATCTTCTTTCCTTAAGCAGGGCGTAAGGAGTGGTCTTACAAGATCCATCTGTAGCAGCTCCACAGGAGAGAGGAAATCAGTTACTGTTGGTTGCTGAACATCTTACAAGGGGCATCGGCAATAATCTGCCCACGTGTAAACATTATTTTTCACGCCTGTTAAGGCAATTGCACATAATAATGTCATGCCCTAATTGTGTGTTTTTTAAAAAAGGCTTTGAGATGTGAGGTCACCTGCCTCTCAAAAGCCTTCACATATTGATACATCAAATCCTTAAAGGGTTGGAAATGCGTTCGACTTAAAAAGTACACAGTCACTGAAAAATCAAAATGAAAGGCAGCGATTCGGCTGGGATGCCTGATATGGGGGGAGTATGTGGGCTGTTTCGCAGCAGGTCAATGCTCTCCTTAGCCCCCCAGGAGAAACACACATACACACACACAATGCGTGGCCCACCTCTGTCCCAGTGGGAGAAGCAGCTGAACGATTGGATACAGGTATGGCAGTTGTGCCCTATGTAGAAAGCAAGAGAGTTTGCATTGAAGAAATGAAGGGAGTACCTGGTTGAAAAGCATTTGGTGGACCAGTGATAAAAAAAATATGTCTAGATACCAATCTGTAGGGTAAGGCGGTTATCAGCCACACCCTGCCATGCAGGTCTCTAGCATTTCCCAAACTTGTTTTGAGCTGATTATGGGTATGCTTGTAGGCACTCCTGCTTAATATTGGGTCCATGGCATGGTTGACAGCTCCACCCAAACTGAACTTATCAGAGATACAATGAAAACAATCACGAAAGTCCTGCCAAGTTATTTATAACCATCCACCCTGATCTCTATATTTGAATTTTTGGCCACCGAGATAAGAAAACTTTCCTCCAAACCAGGAATTACATCTAATAATCTTCTGTGGTCCCTCAATTTGATGTATATGTAAATCTGGCTTTTTTTTGGGGGGGGGGAAGAGACATGGGAATCGTAGTTGCAGCTAATATCATTTGCAGGAGGGTTTTTCACCTCTATCCTCCCTTCAGTGTTCAAAGGCGTGTCTTGTTCTCCCTGATCCTTTCAAATGGTGGGATGGCATTTAGGTCGAAGTTCCTGGCTGGAGTCCCACGGTAAAGTATGCACTGCCATGACCACTGATGAGACGCTACCGTGCTCTAAATACCGTGCATTTTTCCTACCGTTCAGATCAGGGTTTTGGAAAGGGTCCAGATTTGATCTGGGACAGTTCGAAAAGTTGTAACAATAAAAGTAGATAAATAGGGACCACCTCGGTGGGAAGGTCATGGCGTTCCGTGTCTAGTCGCGCTGGCCACGTGACCACGGAAACTGTCTATGGACAAATGCTGGCTCTATGGCTTGGAGATGGGGATGAGCACCATGCCCTAGAGTTGGACACGACTGGACTAAATGTCAAGGGGAACCTTTACCTTTATCTGGTACAGAGACTGCTTGAGGCACCTTGGTGAATGATCTACACCAAGAATGTGACAGACGGAGGGCGTCCCTGTGGGGTCTGGCAAACCTCTGAGCAGTTTTCAACATCGTTGGCTATCGTATCCTTCTGGATTGCTTCTCTGGGATGGGGCAGAACCATTTTGCGAGGGCTTGGTCCCTACCTGTTCGACACCTTGGCCGCTGCCCTGAGAGGGCCCTCAGAGGTCGGTTCTGTCCCTTATGTGGCTTAACATCTACAGGAATCACTGGAGGAAATTGTCCAGGGGTGTAGAGAGTCATCATGATGCGCATAAACCTTAACTTTATTCCTGCTTTGCAACTGGATCTTCAAAGCTGGTTTGATTTTAAAGCCATGTCTGGCAACAGTAATGGAGCAGATAAGAGTGAACACAATGGAACTTAAGCAGGACAAGACAGAGGTGCTCTTGACCG